TCTCGAATTCGTTTGAAGTCGTCGTCACCTCCCTTTCCTCCTCTCCGACCCGCTTCTACTGTGACCTCTTCGCAGAAAAGTTTGTAAGCTGAGATCAAGTAGCGCTGATGTGAGATGTGTCTGAATGACAGGAATGTGATCGTGAAAAATGAGGAAGGACATGTGATGAAGGGAGAGAGAGAGAGAGAGAGAAGAGACAAGGCTTATGTGGGTTGACAGGCAATTACATCAGTGTTGTCAGGTTCAGCTTTTCATATTATTCCCAACCAGTGGAGAGAATATCTGACCACAGTTGTAGCAGGTGCTCGCATTCACAACTAAGCTTCTCGACTCCTCCGAGAGTTTGGTAGCCCTTTTTTGTTTTGTCACTTCAAATTGAAACCCATCCATCACCCTAACTTGGCAGAAGACTTGGAGATCAAATAATAGAGTAGGAATTATAGATGGTGATGAACTTAATTTCTTCTAAATAAATTTGCAGGTATTGAAGACCAGTCTTGTGTCCATCTTTCCCGCAACCATCAATTGATTTCTGCACAAAATATAGAATGAATTGCTGGTCTCTATACCTGCAAGCAAACTGATCATCTTCTTCAGGTTTGTTTATCCATGTAATACTGTAAATAGGGGAAATTAGCTCTTGCCAAATGTATGTTTTTTTCTCTTCACCGCTAGAAATACTTTTCATCAAGTTATTTACCAGCATAAGACACGAGCCGGGTAAAAAAACATAGAATCTCATTAAAAGAAACACAGGTTTTGCAAATTGCATCTTTAGAAAATAATAGATATATCATTTGTTTTTATATATAGTTTATATATATATATATATATATATATATATGAAAAATATGCAAAAACTAACAAATATAATTGTTTCTACATTTTTAAAACCCATAATCGGTAGCCAAACTGATTAAAATTCATTTTTTAAATGTTATTATATCCTTTTATGAAATTTGAAAAGGCCAACCTAGTTAAGGAGAAATCAATGATTTATTTTAATTTGGTATTAGGAATTTTACCTCTAGATCCTTGTGTTATGTCCATTCATTTAATTAAAGTCTAAATTAATGATAGAAGAATTTTTTGGGGTAAATTCTCGAAAAAAAAAATCTTTAATTTTTATAAATTTTTTTAGAATGCTTCAACTTTAAAAAATTATTGCAAAGAATCTTTTTCATAAATGATGAGTTTACCCTTAGTCACCTTCGTGTCGTCCCTGTGCATCGAACACACTTGTGTCTTTGTCGTTGGCCATGCTAACTTCGTGTGCTAGCTAGTGATCTGGTGACACTAACCCTAGCTACCTCCCCTGTTGGTTGACTTCGTCGCTATTGTTACCCGTAGGCCTCCCTTACTGTTGATCATTAGTGAAGACAAAGAGGATGCAGCTCGCATGCTTTCGTCGTCGTATATGAGCAAGGAAAGAGAGGGCATGACCCATACGCCCTCACTGTTAGCGTTAGCCATAAGTAAGGAACAAAAGTAGCGAGCCCCATGTGGAGGCGATCAAGAGCACCGCGAGCAATGGACCATTGTTCGAGACGAAGGGGGGTAGAAACGCAACTAGGAGCTCACCTCTGCTTGCAACTCCCCACTTTGTCGACATCCTTGATAGAGGGGAATGGGAGGTAAGGCGATCGATACAAGACAAAATCAATAATGGATCTAACGAAGACAACGATAAAAATGATGTTTCTATTCCTGTGATTATTGTGATAAAATAATCTTAATCTTTTTGATGCAAGAGGGGTCATTTGAGATTTTTTTTTAAATTAAAACGTTTTGAGAGAATTTTTGAAAACTAGAAATATTTTTCGAGAATTCATCCTTTATTTTTTAAAATTTTGCAAGAGTTAAAAAGAGACATCAAAATCAAATCAGTTCTTTTTATTTTCCTTTAACCATCTTAGCCACTGGAAGAAGAGTTTATTGTTTCTGGTTTAGTACAGCCTTTACTCTGTCGGCATTACTACTCCCGTTGAAGAAAACATCACTAAAGCTGAGGAAGGAAATCAATCCATTATGATCAATCCACATTTCAGTTCACCTTCAAAGAAAAAGCTGCGGAACTCAATTCAGACAATAAACCGGCGGAAAGAAAGAGAGAAGAGAGCACAACACAACACCATTCCACAGTCATCAACGACACAGCTCATGCTTCGCATATGAAAGCAGCATCCACATGGTCATCGCTGCAGTAGAGACCCGGGCGCTGCGTGAATCCTTGCTTCTCCAGCATCTTCCGAGCCCGGAGCACCACCTTCCGGTTCGAGACCTCGCCGTCGGCTTCCCTGAGGATGGTCTGGATCGCATTGCTGAGAGCGCCGTAAGCTCCGCCCTGGCCACCCGCCGGGTTGGCGTCCGCCGACGTCTGGTCGGACTGGCAGCCGCTGATGAGGATGCCATTGTCTTCCCGGCCCTTCCTGCCCGCGCTCGCGTACACCTCCTCCGGCCTCACTTCCTCCTCCTCCTCCTCCTCGTCATCCAGCTTCTGCATCAGGAACTCATGCGCCAGGCCGCCGACGATGCTCATGAGGCTGCCGCCCTCTCCGCCGTCGCCGCCCTCCCCGTGCCGATGCAGCTTGTGCAGGATGAACTTCATGAACTTCTTCACCTTGGGGCTGGCGTCCTCACCGAAGACCTCGAACAGGGTGGGCCGGATCTTCCCCACGTCGATGTCCTCTTTCCCCGTCTTCTGCTTCAGGAGCTCGATGAGGGTGGAGAGCGGGAGGGAGCGGTTCTTGAAGTAGCCCTGGCCGCCTCGTTCCCGGTACTCTCGTTCGGCATCGTGCGCGTCTTCGTGGCGGCGGCGGTGGCCTTCGTGGGGCAGGTGGATCCCCCGGGACTCGAATGCCTCGTGAACGGTCTGCTTCAGGAAGGATCGGAAGCCGAAGCCCGACTCAGATCCAACCTGGTCGGAGCTCTTGGTGCTCTCGCCGATCTGTTCCTTGGCCTTGTCGATGAGGCCACCGCTGTGGCAGGAATCAGAGACGATGGTGAGCCGGCAGCCCTGAGGCACCTTGTTCACAAACTCTCTGAAGTCGTCGTCTGCGAGAGCAGCAAATGGACCAAATCATTCCCCAGGAATGCAACAAACAATCAACGGGCTGCATCCCCATCACAATCTCTCCAAGAATCTACTGTTGGGCAAATTCCCGGATCCAAGACGACTTTGATTCAGGGAAAAGGAACGTAGATGGAAATCGAAATCGAGCATATGTTGGTGGTATATCAAGTCAACCAACTCAAGAACAAGATGATGAGTGAAGGCTGACCGGTGATGAGATTCATGTCGCAGGGGACGATGCACTCGTCGTAGCCGGTGTCGTCGTCCTCGCCGGTCTCGGCAGGGAGGCGGGTGCCGTGGCCGCTGTAGTGGAAGAAGAGGTAGTCGCCGGGATGGGCGGAGGCAACGAGGTCGGAGATGGCCCGGCGGATGTTGGCGCCGGTGGGTTGGGTGTAGGAGCGGTCGGTGTCGATGAGGACGGTGATGTCCTCCTCCGCGAAGCCGAACCGCTCCACAAGGGACTGGCGCATCCGGTTCACGTCGTTGATGCAACCCTTGAGTTCCGCCTTGGTGCCCGGGTAGTTGCAGCCAACCAGCACTGCCCTCTTCGTCGCCATCTCCTCCTCCTTGCTGTGTGATCTGATCTGAGACGGTGCAGGTGAAGTCTTCTTGCTTGGGGTGGGACAGCTTGGTTATAGTGCGGTCGATTGTGATGATGGGAAAGATGGGTTGTAGGGAATGCTTGTTTTGACCTCAATGATCCGTGGTGGCAAGCAATTGGGGTTTCCGATGTGTTGTTAGGACCCACCTAACCAATAGAGAAAAGCCACGAGTATTTCCAATTAACAAAGTGTATGGCGGTAGATGAAACATCTCTTTCCTTATTTCCTTTTTTTTTTTTTGTTTTTTCTTCCCCTAAATAATAATAATGTCATTGTCAACAAGTAATAAGGTTTTCATCATGATTTTCATTTTATTTCTATTTTTTCATTTCTATCATTTAAGTTTGAAAATAACATATTTGTGTCTATATAAATATTAATTTACCATATATATCTCCTAAATATAAACAAATTAAATATCTAAAATTCTCTTCTTATTTGTGCTGATTATTATTTTTTAGTTTTCCTTTTCCTTCTTCCATTCCATGACATGCTTCCATCTTCCCAGGAAAAACAAACATTTTAAAGATTACTTTTTTTTGCCTTTTCTATTGTATATTGGTTTTAAGGATTATATCAAATTTTAGAAGAGGATAAGAGACTTAAAGCTGACATATATATGTATATGTATATGTATATGTATATGTATATGTATATGTATATGTATATGTATATGTATATGTATATATATATATATTAGTTTTAATCCTTATGACAATTAAGTGATGGGATGATCGGTCAAAGCAACCGGTGTCATGTAACCTTTCAAGTCTTCGCTGTCAACGATCTTACGCCCCTTCATTTCCATTTCTATGGCCGGCCGTGCGCCCATCTCGGTGAGAGGCGTCAAAACAGGCACCGCAACACCCGCCCCATCCCCCATCCATGCCTCTTCTTCCTCCTCCACAGGCTTCGGACTCCCGTCTCCTCCTCCATTAAAACCTCACAGTGAAAACACCAATTACTACTGCCTTTTCTCTTTTGGATGGAAGGACGATCACAGTATCGCATCCGAAGGATGAATCAGTTCGATTGCCATCACCATTTAAAAGCTCCTCCTGCTCCTGTTGTGCTCCATGACGCTGCAGTTGGCCTCCACCTTCTCGACGAAGCTGCAAAGAAGCAAAACAAGGGCAGCAACACCGAAGGCTGCGCTTCTCTTTCTCTTGCTTGCACACGCGGCAATCCCTCTCTTGTCCTACTCTATGCTTTAGCATAGCACGCCATCTTATTACGTCGGACTAAGATTTGGACGTGTAGCTTTTGAGCACTCGTCTACCACCGTTCCACACGTACCATAGTGATAGTTGTTGTCTTCGTTGTACTCCTCACCGTACCTTCACCGCTCGGCATGGCCTCCTCGGTGGCCCGCATACCCTCCGCCGATGAGTGGCATGACCCCGGCCGCCTCGCCGCCGCCGTCTTCGGCGCGGCCCGCGGTCGTACCTCGTTCACCCCTGCCAACCTCAAGAAAGTCCTCGTTCGCCAGCAGCAGAGCAAGGATGTTCCTTCCTCCTCTTCTTCTTCCTCAGCTTTGACTGCTGCCGGCGATTCTGTCGCCGGTGAGGAGGACGGTGGGTCGCCGGCGACCGCGCGCAGGCGGCAGTCGCAGATCCACCATCGGTGGGCGGTGCAGCAGGCGCGGGAGATGGTCACCACCATCGACCGGCACGCCCAACAGGCGGAGATCTCCACGTTGACCACCACCTCCCAGCCCGTCTCTGTCCGCGCCGCCTCGCTGCTCCGCGAGGCGTCCCCTTCGGCCTCGGAGTGCTCCGCTGGAAGCGCCGCCGTCTCTTCTTCCTGCGCTGGTGCAGGCGCCGGAGATCTGCCGCCCAACGTCCGGGCCTCCTCGCTGATACAGATGTGGCGCGAGCTCGAGGCAGAGGCGGGGCTCACCCCGAAGCACCGCACGGTGTGCGGCGGTGGCACCATGGAGAACGCCAGTGCTGCTTCGTTCTCGGCCGACGAACCTTCTGGTTGCAACTCCGACTTTTCCGATGAGTCAGACGCGTTCGTGGACTGGAATTCTGACATGACGACGACGGCGAATTCTTCTTCTTCATGTTCATTGAACGACAACGAGAAAAGCCGGGTGGGGAGCATCGTGAAGATGCTGAGCTCAGGCCATGGCGCGCGTAGGTTCATGGCGACGTTGAACAGCGAGAACGAGCCATCGGGGCGAGAGAATCCAGTGGCGACGAACAAGACGGAGAGGCTCCGCAGCACGGGGTCGTCCTCCGTTCTGAGTCCAAGGCGGCTGAGAGGGCGAGGAGAGATGGAGAACCTGGTCGCAAGGATGGAGAAGGAGCGGCGGAGGGAGCTCGCGGCATTGGCCGAGCATCAACACGTCTCACGATTCCCATATCGCGGCCGTCTCCAGGTAAAAACTGAGACATCGTTTCTTCTACCTAATCGCTATTCTCTTCGTGGAAATAACGCAGACATGAGAATTTAAGACTCGGTTCTTTGTTTGGCAACATAATTTTGGTGCACAAACAAGTTTGGAGCCTCACAATTGCAGTGATAGAACAGAGTTCTACAGGGCTAATACAATTTCATCTTCATGGACAAAGAGATACAATATATTCACACAATCTGTACAACATTTTCTTTGCATATTCTCCGTAGTCGATGCTGAGGCTCAAATCTCTTCGACGACAAGTGGAAGTGCACGATCAAATGCAGGGCCCTTCGACAGCTTCGGAATTGGATCAATTGCACAATGGATCCACAATCTCTTATCTGAGGTACATCCCAGTCTATTTGTAGAACAGACATTGCAGAATAAATGTGATTAGAAGCTTACCGTCACTATTTAGAAAGGCTAAGTCCATATAGGAACTCACTCTGTTTGAGTCTGCACTCGTCATCCTTGAATTTGGCAAGCTCGAATTGCACCCTAACGTTCTGCTCGATCGACAAACACCAGGGAGAGATTTAACCACATAGGACAGCATTGTGGAGGCAGAAAGCGAGCTCTGGAGAGCTCGAGCAGTGCCCATGTCCAGTTCCCCATGGATGCTGAAGACACCGTCTACAAGAGCAGTGCACAAGTCCAGTTCCCCATGGATGCTGAAGGTTCAGCCCATACATATTCCAGCGACAACAATCAGTATCAGGAAATTGTGATTCATCCCCAAATCGCTCCACCTGAGACCAACTCATCATATTCCAGGAGTGATTACCTACAGGAAGGAAGCCAAAGTGTTGATGGTTCTTGGGACGAAAGGAACCTATGGGTGACCAACCTTGACTGGCAAAGACCGTCAAATGGTTGGCACGGTGAGGCTGTTGCAGAGGAGCTTGAATCGTACCCACAGCAAAACACGAGTAATTGGATCAGCAGGCCTTCCGATCCATGGACAGGATGGGGGGCGAACAGGAAACCTGATGCGTATCATGACTTGTTCCAGAATTTCTCTGATAATGTCGAGATCCGGGAGCTTCTTGAGAGGTATATTCTTCTTCCTCTCTGCTCATATCAGTAGACAAAGCATGATTTCATCTTTTCATGTGGTCTCAAACTAGTGATGATGATAGAGAATACCTGTGTTGCATCTCACTTGGAAAGCTTGTTCTGGATTTTCCTGTGAAGTAATTGTTGGTTGATACATTGCAATCTGGAAATTTTATGTCTTGATTACTATATATCCAGTTTATTTCTTGGAACAACAATCTCGTCTGCTTGTGTTGAGTTTAGAGCTGCCAGACTTTTTGTGTTCAGAGCTCTGCACCCTTATGTGCCATCTCCTTCAATTTTCTGTGCTGCAGAAGAAGAGTCTCAACTTCTCTTGCAAGCGATTTTTGCAATAAGATGAATCAACTGATCTTGTCGTTCTTACACCGACAAACACAGCAAAGTTTTCATGAGAATTCAGAAGAAACACATGTGGATTATCCGTTCTGGCAACCAAGTGACGAGTACTGTAACGCTGAGCAAGATGCATCCGTCTCATCATCGCTGGTACCTCTACAATATCACACCTTGCACCACCCAGAGAACTGGCAACATACTTCATTCACTCACCAGTCTTCTCACAATCTGCTAGTGAGTTCTGTCTCCATCTTTTCGCCGGTTCTCCGGTAAGAAGTATGTGCTTCTATATGACCACCATTTGCTGCCATCATGGTAGGACATGGAAGCTATGCGTGACTTGCGGAGTGATATGGCTCAAATCCATGAAGAAATCAGCGAACTGCGGGCATTGATCGAGAGTTGCATGGACTGGCAGGCCAAACTTAGACAATCTATCAAGCATGACATAATGGATGCGATACATCAATCAGGTTTGCATGTGCCTTTTTTTCCCAAAAATCATTTGGAGTAGTCATATTATAGTGTTATCATTTACGGTTGGTCATATACTTAATCTGCAACATTATTATGTTATGACTAATCTGAATTGCAAAATTGGTTGCTTTACAGGTGGAACAGCAAGTGTTTCACAGGGTTCCAAAGCTAAACCAGGAGGGAGAGGAAGTTGCTGTATATGCTGTGAGATGCAAGTTGACTCTCTGCTTTACAGGTATATATGCTCTCTGTGTACGACTTTTGTGTATCATGTCCATTTTATATTACTCTAGAACACAATCTGATTAGAGAAAAATATATATATATATATATTAATAATACTAGATGAGACAATTATTAATGCGATATGGATATTATAGTTAGAACGGATGAGGCAATTATTAATAATACGAGAAGAGATAGATAAGATTTAAGACAACTCTACAAGAAACTACAAATAAAGATTTAGATATTCTTATTTAATTAATAATAATTATTATTATGTATAGAATTCAACGACGGAAATAATTTATATAACTGATCCAAAGAGTTGTAATCATAAATAATTTACATAACTGATGCAAATAGTTGGATGGCTCTTCTCAGAATCTAATCTGTACAGGAATCTAACTGGAATACTTGCAGGTGTGGGCATATGTGCACCTGTTTCAAGTGTGCCTGCCAATTGCAGTGGAACAGTGGATTGTGTCCGATCTGTCGATCCCCAATTGTGGATGTCGTGCGGACCACCTTTCCTAATTACTAATGGTGAAAGATGATGATGATGATGATGGCCAAAGTATTGCTGCAGTCTGTAAGGCAAGGCACTGACTAACACCCAAAGGAAACACTCAGCTTTTTTGTTACCAGAGCTTGCAAAACCTTCTTCGGAGGCTAAAACCATGATGACTCTTCGACTTCACATCATAGTTCTAGCTCAAGATTGATAGTGTGTTCATCATTCTTTCATAATGACGTAATTTCTTTGTTTTCAGTATGCATTGTGATCATTGGAGACAGGATGTATATTGTCTTTATATGAGGAATTGTTTGAAAAGGATTTACCACTTCTCTAGAATGGTTTGTTTGCATAAAGACTTTGTGGTGCATAGTTTTGTGTTTGATCGAGTCTGACAAAGATGCTATGATCATAAAAAGCCAACTCGTCTGACAAATTCTTGCAATGAATCAGATGAAATGTACACACGAATAAGAAACTCCAAATAACAAAACCATATCCATAAATGAGACTGAAGGAACACCACAATTTTTGACACAAGTTCAATATAACCACATTAAGTCGATAAATTTGAATCATCGATCCTTCGATCGAAACACATAATTCCTTGATTGCCGGGTTCAATCACACCTGACCCAACCACCCTTTGTATGACTGGATTCAATTCTAGGGTTACAGATCAACCGATACATGAAAAATCAACAAGTAACCAACAAATTAAAAGAATTAGCTGGTGGAGTCTTCCAGAGCAGCCATGAGCACATCATTCCAAGTGTCTGTCAACCCGGGCAAGCACCAGTGCATGCAATCTTCGTGCTTCTTTCTGCCCATGGTTGAAGGATGAGCATCCGCTCGGAACTCGCTCATGCGAGTAATGTCCAATACCTGGAAGCTTGATCTCTGAAGGGCCTTGTAAAGATGCTGATTTATGACACGTACCTCTGCATTTGTTGCATTCCTCTCCACAGAAAAGAGCTCTTCAACCTGAACCAGTTACATTATCCTTTGAAAGGTGAATAAAGTGATACTCTAATCATGTTAGTTTACTTCATGTGTAAGCATCTGCATTCTATGAGATGCATGGCTACAGGATGGTTTTCTTGTTGTAGCCTCTCCTTTCTCTATCAAGAATGTCATATATGGAAATTCAAATGGATCCAAGAAAGAGACTGCAAATTCTAACAAGCCAGAATAACAAGTTATCACGACAGCAAATATGGGCCATATTGAAGACCACTTGGTGTGGCTAAAAATGCATAAAATGATATCAGGATACAATATGCAACAGCTTGGTCCGAGGTTTTTTATATTATCAACTTTAGGCTACGGCCTGCATAGTCTAGTCCTTTGGGTCCAGTCCATGAGGGACCTCAAGGAGATGAATTGCCAGCTCTTACAATGTTCTTGGCTCATGAACTCCTCATTGATGTGGGATTCTGTGGCATAACCATAAGCTAATGCTACGCTAAGCTAAATAATCTCTTAAAGAGACATTAATGAGGGATTCTGTGCCAGTTATGATAAGTACAAAAGAACTCACCTCATGTGACAATAAAGGTTCTCTTCGTCGACATGATCCACCTTGGTTCCAGTCACCACCTTCAAAATGCCTTGGTGATTGTGTCCGGAAGAATGTTCTTGAACCCTTAGCTGCTCTTCTCTCCACATATGATATCTTTTCCATGATAAGAAGGTTACCACAAGGGAGATTATGAGAAGGAATACAACAAATGAACAAGATAAATCAAGATATGGGTTCCATGACACATTACACTATATAACAAATAAAGGATCTCTTCTGCAAAATGCTGCTCCAATATTCATCACAAAGGCAAAAAATTGGATATCAGGTACAAGAGCTCTCCTTATCTGGAATACAACTACTAAAAGGATGCCAAAACCTTCTCTAAGGTTAAAAGTTCAAATCAAGGAGAAAAAAGCGAACTGAAATGCCATCCAAATATTTCCTTCAATATTTTAGTGGGAATGTCAGATCATAATTTTCTAAAAGAAAATCTTTACACCTTAACTAACAATAAAATAGGGAAAAAGAAAAAGATGAAGGCCACAACCCTCATGGGGGAAGACCTAACCTATCCTATCTTTCATCACTACAAACAAACTAACGCAATCTTCTTTTTTTGTTCTACATAGGAAATGTATACCATTACTGATCAAGATCATGGAAAAAATATGATCATCTAAGAATATGGACATCTATAATTCTATCTCAACATATTATTCCAACAATGTTACGGACTTCATTACATCTGTCATGCAACCCTTATATCCATCTAACATTTTTTTATAATATGCCCTGGCTCCCTCTTCACCTAATATGGCACTATAATCTTCCCTGACTGCTTGTTGGCCTACTTTCTCAGGCTTGGTAGAGTCAAGTGGAGTGAGCATAGTTCCTTGCATGCAATTCATGTGATGTATCGCAGTTAAAGCATGCAGTCTCTTCAGAAAGAAAAGGAAGCACAAGCAAGATGCACATTGGCAGGCAAGATGATATGGGAGCCATCCATGTGTGAAGTGGTGCAATAACCCGCTCTTGCAATATATACATAGGTGAACAGAAAAAGAAGGGCCAGCTTTTGCCTATCTTACCAAATTGAAATGCTCAATTTAGATGAAAAAGAAGGGTCCACTACACAAAACTCATATTTGCTACCTCAAGTGCTAAAGAAGGGAGAAACAAGGACTTAGGGACCACCCACTGGTTATAAGGCAAAAATATCACAAGCAGTTAAGAAAGAAGGATCTGAAAAAACAAAGCACCTCATATCCAATTGTGGGAAATGAAAGGCTAGCAGGTTTGCGAGAGCTATATTTCTAAATTTGGAGGAGATCACTGACATTATAGAGTTATTGGAGGCAATGAATAATACTGATGACATGAATTTTAACTTGACTAGTATATACATAGTTTGTTTTTGGTAATTGGATTTATCATTAGCCTAAATCATTATTGTACTTGTCACTACAATAAAATTCTGAGGTTCAACACATCTGATGTATATCTAACTGATACACATCTAACAATGATTTAGCAAGGAATACAACAAAACTGCTTGATGAAATGCTTCAAAAATATCATTAAATGCTATCTTAAGTTTTCAACAAATATAAGCAAATCAAGCCACTAATAAATAATTAGCATGTCATAATTGGTTTTTCAGTCATTTAGTGACACAAATATCAATATGTCAAATAATTCATTGTCATACCATATGTTTTAAAGCTAAATCTATGCCAATTTCTGGAGTTACTGGAGGTAACACTGGCAATCCCTTTTCAAAAAAGAGCATTGGTGACTGCTCTGGATCAAATTTTGAGGGAGCCCACCACCTGAAAATTAACAAAATTAATGTAAAAGGTTCATTTATATAACTTTATAGACTATATATCTTATGGCTTTCAATTAATACATCATATACATATAACCCTATGCAGAACATGATTAAATCCATTTACATAAATAACTACAGTTCAAGCGAAGTCCTTAAAACCATATAATACGACCTGTTTAACGTTTCTCTAAGTCAACCTATGCCTATTATGATGTAAAGCATACCTCCATGTCTCAAGACTTAAAAACAAACTAGAAGAATAGCATAATCATTGATTCAGAAACTTGAGAAGAAAGCGGTACATGAATGAAACTCGCAACAAATATAAAAGTAAAAAAGATAGATTCAACAAGTTCAAAGGGCGATATGATTGTATTGTATAGTGTATGTTTCTTATAACTTTTCATGTTTGTGTTACATTTATAATGCCAAAGATTTTTCTTTTACTAAAGAACTCCAAAGCTGTACGATTAGTTGATCTTAAGAAATATAAATCAGACAGTATTTCTTCGAATCTAAACCTTCTTTCCTACTTTCTTCTGCCCTAGTACTGTACAAGCAACATCCTTTTCTAAAACTGTGTCCTCTAGCAGGCATGCAAATCAATGAATATATAAAGGGTCCCTCCTATAACAAAAATCACTTAGTCTTCAGCTGATAATGGTTTTATGTACAGCCATTATCTAACAGACAACAGTATATGTTCTGCATCTATTTTCTTATGGATCTCAATATCAAATGAGAGATACACACATGGATTCACATGATATACATTCACCAACAGAAATTCATAAGAGTCTGAGCAACAGCCTTCAATTCCAGAACTAAACACTTGATCATGAGAAATTACAATTACCAGTGACCTGTATTAAAGATCAGAATATGATGGAAGCTAGGTGCCTCTGCCCAGGTGTGTTCTGGAACATCAACATCCACCCTGTAACCTTGTTTGATACCAAGGGATTCTAAGGCACCTCCATTGTCGCTTGCTGACCACCTGAAAGTCATATGAAACAAGAAAAAGATTAAAAAAAAAGAGTCATATTTCTTTAAGGGGAAATTTCTTATGTAAATCCATAAAAAACACAGAGAAATCAAATTTATCCCATAACATGCAAATATAATGTATATGCCCCTATAAGTGAATTTCTGTGAAATTTACCTAGCAATGGACTGTTAGGAACAAAGATAAATATGCCAGGTTAGCCTCTAATTAAAGAGAATGACATGTCCAAGTTAACGGAAGATAAATTTATCCCAGTGTAAGTCAATCTAACCCTAACTTTAAAAGCTTAGTCAATCAATCACTTTGTCCAACTTAATAAATGATTACTTGATCCCAGTGCAAGTCAATCTAACCCTAACCTTAAGCTTGGTCAGCCCATCACTTAGACAACCCAATCTAATTGGAGACCACCTAATCTAACACAATCTTTGCAGGCCCAATCTCTCAGACACAATCCTCTGAAACCCAATCACTCCCAAATATACACATATATATAAACCGCACACACACACTACAGCCAATAAGGACTATTATTATATCATCCCCAGTCCATGTCAGGTCAAATATGAAATTGATCATGCAAAAATTTGATGGTTTGAGGCACAAACTTCTGAACATGAATTCTCAATTGAAGTTATACTTCATATTTTAACAAAAAAGTTGTAATAGTAAATAACTAAATCTTGGCCTTCACAACAAATCAAAGGCACCTAGGAATCAAAGATCTATACCTAAAAAAAAAGAAGTAATATGTCATACAGAGTCAACTCCAGTATCAAATATGTTCAAGAACTTCACAAGATAGAACAGATTAACAGTTTTAATTTGCTGGTAATCTTTTTACGAAAGTCTGAAACAATAGAACTTTTGATGGGACTGAGCATACTCCTTATTTTGTTGTGCCTACAGTTCTTATGTCTAAATGCTGACCCAGAAATCTTCTTCTGAAGGCTTCCAAGAGATACGTCAATTATTTATATGTTGCACAAGACCTTTATCTGGTCGGAACAAGGTTAATCGTGATGGATCTAGGGATCAAAATCAAGATGGAGGAATTGGTTTTACAATTCATGGTGACTAATGGCAATTATCTACTTTCTTGTGCAGGAATATGATGAACAAGCATACTCTTTATTGTGAGGATGCCGTAATTTTGGTTGATTCTGATTCTAAAGTCCCAGTAGTAGGCATTTTGAACAAAATTATACCCCTCATTGGTCTAATCACTCACTGTAACTAAAAATATTTTATTTTTGCCAGATAATTATGCCACTATTGTTCGAGAGGATCTTGGCCATCGGGGCATAATCTGCTACAAACTCCCATCTTTTGGGGGGGATCATTTGTGCTCGATTTTGTACGTAATATATGATTTTTTTTAAATAAAAAAATTGCAGGTAATCAACCATTACTCACCTGCCATACCGCACCAAGAGATTAGTCCGGTGATACGCAACAGTGAGATTATAATCAAGAAAGGTGAAACCCCTATCGGCCCCGGCGGGACGCCACTTCCTCACCCCTCTGCTCACCGATCTCAGCATACAAACAAGCGACACGTACATGTTCCTGTTCAACGAATCCCCCACAAACCCTGCACTAATGAATCCAACCAAAGGACGACCCAAAGAATTGACTTTTGCAAAAGATAAAACAGAGATCATATGTCCTATAGCCATCAGCAACCAACCTATGTTGGTGTTCCTGAAGCGTCGGAGGAAGCGGAGGGGCTCGAGGCGAGGGAGGCCGCAGCGAGAGGGCTGCCACCGCCACCGGAGGAGATCGCGGCCGTTGTGCTTCCCGCTGGCGATGCAGTTCCAGCCCTTGAAGATCTCCTTGCAGGTGTGGTCATAACGGAGGGCGACGGGATCCGGATCGAGGACCCAGGCCCCATCGGAGTAGTTGCAGGGCCAGCGATTCTTATCCCTCGTTGGCTCCCCAAGGAGGTCATCGTACCGGGAAACGACGGAGGGCCTTGCGGCGGAGAAGAAGAGGGCGAGTAGGAGGAGGAAGACGAGGCAGAGGAAAGGGACGAAGCAGGAGAAGGAAGACGAGGTGGAGAGTGGTCTCCTTGTGGTGGGTTTGGCCGCCATTGACAGTGCCGGAAGCATTCCCAGGTGGATCAACAAAAGGAAACCAAGTGAGGACTTTCTGGGTATTTTGAAAATATTGAAGGACTTTTTAGGGTAATCAGTAGCCCTATTAGTGTTTTCTCGTTTTTTTAGGAACAAATTAAATATTATCTCCTTAACCATACTAGCATTGTGATCCCATACTTAAAAAATTTATGTTGGCACCATTACTTAAATAAATAACACTATCTATCATAACACTATTAGGTACATTGACGAAAAATATAACACGTGAAACCAAGTACTAGATCAACATGAACGTGACATCATGTGTTGGACCAATGTGAACGTGACACAACGTGCTGGATCGATGTGAAAGTGATAGATAAAAAAATAATTTTAACATCTCTTTCATTGCTAATAGTGAGCAGCTTTGTAAGTATGTCGTCGGTTGTGGAGAGGAGTTAGATGGGATTGGAGATCATGTAATCGAAGATGACCTCAATCGAGGAGGTGATAACGAGGCTAACGAAGGCCGAGGGATGACCTTTAAGAGCTAGGCAGGACAATGACTACACCTTGAGCATCTCGACAGTGCAGTGAGAATGATCGCCACTGGGATGCTCAATGATCGATGTATCGGCATAAGGCTTCAGGCCGTGAATTTGGTTATCGAGCCAAGAAGATCGGACATTGCCCTAAGAAGATCGAATGTTGCGAAAAGACATGTCGATTGGACAATACACCGGAGAGGACAATGCGTCGAATGATCGGATGAAGTGCCGGAAGAACTAATGACATGCCGGACAACATATGATTCTCTTGTAATCAATTATGTCTAGATTAAGTTAGTTTAGAATCTAATTGAGTTGGTTTAGAATGTAATTAGACCAATTCAATTAGGGGCCAATTGGGCCCAAAATATGATTATTTTGGGCCAAGAGAAATGCCCATTCAGTTACCTAAGTTTGGGATGTGTTGGGCCAAGTGAAAGGCCCAAATAATGACCAAACAGGTGAAACCATCAAGACACAGTCTCCGAAACTATGTCAGGTGGTGGTACTGACATAATTTTATCCGCTGCACTAATTCACCCCTCCTCTTAGTGTCGACTCGATCCTAACAAACACTTGCTATAGCGTTCCATTCCCCATCTTCGCCCGCACCACCTTTAGCATATGCAGTGCTCACATCCTCCTCCTCCATTCACTCGTTGCATATGGTTGGTTCAACATTGAGACCTCGATCGATGGCTCTCTTCCTCCTCTTCCTGACTTCTCTTTGCTTATTCTCTTATGCGATGTTGCTCTTGCGGCTCGCCACCTCATCATTGGAGCTCACCGCGGTCGCCCCACCTCTTCCATGATGGTCGTCTATTATTGATCAGTGTATATATCTGAGGGTCAATAGAAGCAAGTTTATTATATTAGTCTTATATATGGATGATATTTTATTTGCTAGTAGTGATCTCGATTTATTACACAAAATCAAGCTTTTTCTCACTTAGAATTTTAATATACTTGATATAAACGAGGTAGCCTATGTTATTTACATTGAGATGTTGAGAGATAGATCTTAATGATCACTATGACTATCTTAGAAAAGAAATATTGACTTAGTATTAGAGAGATTCAGTATACAATATTGTTTAGCTAATGATACAACTATTACCAAAAGCGAAAGATTCAATCAAAATCAATATGAATATTCCTTATGTATGTAATGTTAAAAGTCTATTGTATGCTCGACCATCGTCGCTCCTGTATTGCTCAACCACCTTCTCTCATGTACTGCTCGTTGCCGCCACACCTACACCACTCACCACCACCGCACCAAACCCAGCATGCCCGTCGCCCCATCATCCCCACCCTGATTGACGATGGTTTCATCATTTTAGAGAAGCTTACTGCCTATGCAACAACTACCTCTCCCTCTCCTCCCATGGTGCTCAGCTCATCGTCTTCCACCCCAAGGTCGATGAGATCTCCGTCATCATCGTCAACACCACCTCCAACCCCTTTCATACAATTCATCCCCCTTTTTATCTCCTCTATTTTGATATACATATGAATCGAATATTTCACCCTGATAAATATATTTAATTTCACTTCGAATATTACATTAAATGTGTTCTTATATTGTTAGACAAATACATCATCAACCAAACTATTACTTCTTTCCTTATCGTATCAATAATGGAGGATTCATGGTGACATTTGCTGGTAGAAAATATGCAGCAAGGTCCTCTTCCATATTTGTTGGCAATAGTTCATATGCTTCGGCACCACAACAAATGCACTCAATTGTGCGATGGGTGAGCATGTGCGACGGTCGAGTGGGTGCGATGAGTGATCTGGGTCTGGTGCAATGACAGCGAGCAGAGAGATATAGGTCGAGCGAGTGCAATGGGCGAGTGGAGGGTAAATAAGTGGAAAGGAGGAGAGGAAGAGAAATCGATTAGGGCGAGAAATAGATATAAATTTAATAATTTAAAAATAGTAAAATTATGTTTTTATTCTTTGTATTAGTGTGTTTTTTTTTCACGTGACAACAAGTACAATTTTTTCTATTGATGAAGTTGATGACATAAGAAGAATTAGGGTTAAATATTTCACTTTCATAAGTGTAGGACTCGGATGCTACATTTTAAAGTATATGGATCGAAATACTAATCATAGTTAATTATATGGGGTAATATGTAATTATCATATGCTCTAATGATGGGAATCCACTCACTAGAATCTCATCATTAGTCTGGTAACTCTAGTCTAGTAAAATAGATATACATGAGGCCCAAAATCCTTTAAGACTTAGTTACTAATAGTAGAATATCTAATTGTGTATAACTTTAATAATGGTGTTAGAGGAAAAATATGAACGAATATTTTTTCAAGGAGCGAGATAGATAAGCTCATGTGTTTTGGGAATGATCTACACGAAGACCAAGATCGAGTATGAGTTTTTTAATCTAGTCTTCCGACACTTAAGTTAGTCCCAATGTTAATAAATGAAAATAATAAAAAAAATAAATAATTTTGATTATTTAAAAAATATTTTTTTTATACCAAGTAAAAAAGGATGAAAATATCCGATGAAATATTTTTTTAGGAAACAACTCATAACCATGCCTTTTGGACTTATGTCGAGACGAAAGGGGCAATATCTCATCTATGTCAATCAAATTATTACCACATGTTCGAGAATATTTCTCCTATCAAATGATATTTTCTCGTGATGGTGCGGCATGAAATTTGTCTGCATACTAATATATCTTAAGCATCGACAAGGTTTATTAGAATTTAATATAAGATTGAGCTTTGGTGATTACTATTTATTCAATTAGAGCCTTATATCTATTTAATTTTGTCTCACGTGGCATTTAATTGATATTGATTACAATACACTTAAATTGCTTTTACCTGACGCTCGGATTCATCTTACGCGTCAAACCTAATTTGATTTGTGCGTGAGAAGAGATTATACGATCGGGCTTTTTACTGGTCACGAATTCAACATCTTATGAAGGATGTCTAATATCCGAATAATGTCACGTCGAGATTTGTGATTGTAGTTTATAAGGTGACATACTGTCATCACTAGCAATATCATCTTCATTTGTGATTGTAGTTTATAAGGTGGAGATTTGTGATTGTAGTTTAGCATCGGAAATTACTGGCGATATTTTTATAATAGCTTTATCATCCTCATTCGATCATCAAAAGGGGATAGAAAAAAAGAATAAGGCAACTCAAAATCCCATATTTATTTTTAGAAGAGAAAAGACAAGTAACTCCGCTCGTTTACCAAGTAATACAAACGCTAAAACAAGGATTATATATTCTTAAACTGGCATGACAGTCTAAGTAGATCAGACAATTAGGCTAACAGCGGTTCCTGGTTGCTTGGTTCTTCGTAGACGCTCGTTTCATTTCTGTCCCACTCTCCCACTCCGTGAGTTGCAGCAAAAGACTCCCCAGTTTTGCTGCTATCTTGAGCTTTGCCCCACAGAAACAAGAAGAGGCCTCCGATGACCATGACCATGGCTATCAAGCTACGTGGACGGAAGTAAATGAGAAAAAGGATGAATTCCGATGATCACCTTCTCTAGAAATTATATTTTTTTCTTTCTCTCACCAAATCTTAATGGATAATCTTCTCTGGAAGCTCTAAAGTAACTCTCTCTAGAAGTCTTAGAAAATAACCCAGGAGCACACAAAATATTTCTCACAACCTAGAAATATATAGAGTGTTGATAGAAGAATCAAACCCTAATTTTTAGGGTTTTCTTCTTTCACAATATATATATATATATATTTTTGCACTAGGATTTCTTGTCCACCTAAGAAATTGACTCCAAGAATCCAAAACATATGTATGTAAATCTAAACAATTAGAATGATACATGAAGTTCCAATGATGCATCGAAAGGTATTAATTTTGGAAGGCGGGTGTTAGCTCTTTTATGTTTAGTCATGTGCCTATAGGGATGACAAGTATAAGTTAGTCAATTTTGATCTTATTAAAATTTTATCCTTAATATGAAATATATTTTCTTTTTTCAGTTAAAAAAATGGCAAGGATGGAACATAGAACAATTAATGCAAGGATGATTGATCATTATAATACTTGATGAATTTAGAATAGCATGGTCTAAAATGTTCAAGACTGGAATAATGATAGTATGTCGATACAATCATTATAAGTTTATTAAGTCTTCTCTCAATTTGGATTTGGAAATAGATGTTTGAGCTAAGAAGAAGAACCAAGTTAATCCAACAGTAGTTACTACTTCAAAGAAGGGAGGGAGGGAGGGAGGGAGGATCCAAGTGGTTACCTGCTCCAAGTGAGTTGCACATGAAGCAGCAATGGCTCCAGTATGGCCACCATGACCGTCGACACGGGACTGAAAGCGGTAACGTAAACTGGGCCCGTTTCCTTCACACACCACATCATGGCGAACACCCCAAACCCTGCACAGAATATTCCCTGCAATGTGATGAGGAACATGGCATTCTCAGTACCTAGATCACGTCCACCTAACGCCACCATATACATTGACGGATTGATTTAGCATGGAGAAGGAAGAAGAAGAAGAAGGAAAGAAGAGAGAGAGAGAGAGAGAGATACACTGTAAGCTATGGCCAGTAGCTGCAAGTCCCACCCGAGCTTCAGAGCTGCAGGCTTTTCAAAAATGAGTGAGATAACAGCGCATTGGAGGCCGCCCACCAAGTTGACAAGCCCCGAAAGGGTGAGCTGAGAAGGGTATTGGGCCACGACACATGCCTGTGATCGGGAGTGATAGTAAACATCAAGTCAAGCTTCGAGTTGTTACCGAAAGCAAAACGAAAGGGTGCACGTGCAGGTTCTAACATAACCTTTAATTATACGTATAAATACGGCTTCTTAAGACAAGTAAATGTACGCATGCATCCGAGGAAGAAGACTTTTCGCAGAGACCAAATCAGAGCTTATCGTCCTTTCTGCTTCCTTGCTGCATGCAATACGATGGGCTCCACGATTACCAACGTGTTAGATGTATCACCGTCCAAACATGCAATAGTTGCATGTGGAATAGTTCCCATGAAATGCTATTAGTTAATAGACGTTTGGAGTTGGGTTTGAAGACAAAGAAAACGACAAACAACGTCGAATCTCTCTCTCTCGGTCACATCGTATCCACCAAGGAGTAAGGGTGGAGGTGAGGATGAATCATGCAGGTGCTGTCCTTAATCAATAAACAGATTTGTTTTTTATTCTTTATTTACAAATCGAATGCTGCTTTCTGGTATCTAATTTCCATAATTTTTAATTCATGCGTGCATCGTGTGAGTTAATTACCTGTAGCCAATAATATCCTCTAAGGGTTTATGATTCGTACCGACCTAATACCAAGTGTTGTCACCTCTTCCCTATGCAAAAGAAATAACATGGTTGAAGTTAATGGCGAGGCTTATTTAACATTGCAACATCATTCATCTCCAATTCAATGAAAGGTCGGTGGATAAGATTAATTTTTGTGCCTATTTAGTCTCATATAAAAAATGAATTAAGCTGCTAATAAGTATATTCCATGACACTAAAATAATTGATTTCTTTCGGTTGAACTTGTGGGTCCAAAATGAGGAGAGAGAGAGAGAGAGAGAGAGAGAGAGAGATATGACCTGGTAGAGTAGGAAAGCTGACCACGCCGTAGTTCCCACGATTGTGAACAAGGCCCCGAGGACGAAGGAGGTGCCGCCGCCGAGGCCATGGAGTCGTCGGACGTGAGGTGAGAAAATTGGATCCATCTGCGCTTGTAGCCCCTGGCCTCCGTTATGATCCTTGAACAAGGTCATCACCATGGCACCTCCCACGCACAGAAACGTGCCGAGAATCTTAGCCTGTCCCGTCCTGTTCTTTATGCTCACTTCCTCCAGTCTGATTACCCAAGTGATCAGCACCAACAAGCGTACAGCAGTAAAGAAAGACCAGACCGAGGGAATTTTTACCACCTTACCGTACCTGAGGAGATACGCCAGCAAAAAAGTAATCGCGGGTTGGAGATTGGTCATGGTGCTGACGAAGGTGGAGGAAGTGTAAGCCAGACCAGCATAGTAGAAGTTCTGACTTATGCTTATCCTACACGACGCATTTACGGCAGCATACTAGTCAGCTACCCCGAATTCTATGTCGTAAACAAGATTGATTCATCAGCAGCGACAGATTGGTTCTTGCGTGTTCGCTTACCCCATCAGTGCCAAGAGAAAGATCTGTCCCGCGTTCTTCCATCTAACTGGAAGCCTCCCAATCTCCCTGCAGTCAACGAGGGCATGCAGCAGGAAGTGATGAAAACCAGAGAAAGAAAGAAAGAAGACGCTACGTTACTATGCATGCAGTAGAAGACTTTATCGGTGTGGACGTACCTGTCAAGGAAGCAAGCGAGGGGGCAGATCGCCACTGCCGCAATGATCTGGCGATACAATACGAAGCCGTAGTGGCTCATGCCGCGGGTGAAGGCGAGGCGGGTGATGAGGAACATGGCGGCGTAGGCCACTTGCACGTAGATCATGCCGAGCAGCGGGCCGCGCTTTCCCATGAACGCCATGCCTGCTGATGATCAGATCTCCCCTTTCTGCGTCTCCTCCACCTGTGTGTATGTGGGTGTTTGTGTGCGTGAGTGGCACTTTAAGAAAACTATTTTAGCCATGATGAAATGTCAACTCATATTTGAGTCTACTTCTACAAGCTTCATAAGCCTTGTTATGTTTCGGTAGACGGTCATTGTCATCACATAAATACAGAATTGTCACCAGCTTAGAAATGTCAATGTTACACCGAACGCTAGAACAACTCATGTCC